CCTTTCGCACTTCGCAAGAGACTCCTGCCAGAAATCTTGGCATCTGTAAATCAAATCGAGCCAGATGGGTGTGTAGACTTGCACGTGTTCGTCAAGCGCAACCAATCTGAGATCGTGAGTAACAGGGTCTGAGCAAGAGGGACCCCTGGCTTCGAGTGTATCATGCCACCACAGAGATGCCGTGCAGACAGACTCATCAGGAGACAAACCTCGATTCCGCATTCCCCACAATGCCTCAAGAGGAACGATCACTTGTCATGAGCCCGCTCCAACCTATAGCGCTTTATAAGCTTGGGACGTCATGCCAACTCGAGGATGTTTTGAGAAGCGCCCCTTTTGTACCACTGCCAGTTTCCAGACTCGGGGAAATGCTACTGCCAAACACTAGCGTTGCCAGTCGATCCTCAAACTACCTTTCCTGAGCCATGAACGACGACGGATTCAGTTGCTCACCTCGACGGACTCGGCTATTGTCCCAAGACCGAAGCCGACCTTCTCGCTCAAATTCATCGAGCTCTTGCGAAACTCAGAGGACCAGGAACAAAGCGTCTGGGTATAAAAGAGCGATACATGGCGCAGCTGAGCAAAAATACCGCCATGGTCTCAAGCTTCGGATTGAGAGGCTGGGAAAAGTTCTTTGTGAAATCGCCGATCGCGACCCCGCAATTGCCGTCGCAAACCACAAGTCCGCCAAATTTCTCACTCTTGTTGCAGCTGTGCAAACCATACAGCGCATACGCACACTCATGCAAATGGAGCACGAGCGAACCCAGGAACTTCGGTCACAGATCGACATCATCGGCTCTCGAGTCAAGTGCGACCAATGTCCATACTATGAGCAAGCTACAACACTCTCCGGACGGATGATTCATCAGGAGTCTATGACCCGGAAAGAGCCGGATCAGGGTGAGGAAACAAGACCAATCTGAGGACAGCTCTGAGTCTTCTTATTTTCGATATGTTGAGGATAGGATCATGACCTGATACAGCCTATGGAGCTGGTCAGGAATGTGAGAAATCGGGCCATGTCAGAAGAGCACGAGATCAGAGAGATGGTTAGACTTGGAAGGGTTGATCTAGGCGGAGTGCCAGTGATCTCAATCAGACCAAAACATAATCCTGAGCTGTTCTTAGCACAAGGGTGCTACACAGTTGATGTCTCTGTGAGACCTCGAGTCATTTCGCTAGATTGGAAGCCGATACAAAACGTGATATGTTGCCTCTTTAATATCGACCCATCCTCAGACGAGAACATCTTGGAGTCACCTTCCCATCGCAGATTAATTCTCTATCCTTGTCCGCGCAAACAATCACGCCATAGCAGGTGAGTCTTATCCAGTCTGCTACATATATACAAGATCACGTCAATTCATGGCCTGACCTTGAGCTTGTAGAGTTACATTATGAGGTGCCTACCAGAGGGTCACGGCGAATCACGCATATCATAAACTGACATCGGTCGGCAATGATTGTAAATCTCTTTCGAGCGCAAATATATATAATCTACAAGCATAGCTCAAATTTGTTCAACCTTTTCCTCATCAACATTCTATCTCATCATCATCCTATCTCATCGGGTTTCAACACTGTATTTCACGATGGACATGTTTGGACTGCCCTATTGGAACGACATCCTGCCCATGGTTGATCATGCCCACAATCGCATTCACCAGCACCAAACTTTCCTAAACCAAGTTTTGAGGAAGACTACGGACGAGAAATCCCACCCCAACTATCCAGACATCGATCTTTGGACCTTCCCTCACCACTACATTGTTGAGGTTGAGGTGCCCGGTGTTGTCAATGTCAAGGATGTCCATGTTCAATGGACAGGCCCCCGCTCACTGGTTGTGAGTGGTTGGATCAAGCGAGCCAACGCACCTACCACAAACGGGCCAGAAGATGCTGGCCAGACCTCGACTGGTATTCCGGACGACGTCAGCAAGCAAGATCACAACGATTGGCCTCGCTTAATGGTTGGAGAGAGAAGAGTCGGCTACTACGAGCGCCACTTCACCTTTCCTGGCGAAGCCGATATCCCCGACGTTCATGCACAGCTCAAGGCCGGATTGTTGACTATCAAGATTCCAAAGAAAGAGCGTCACCGGCTTCCAGCAAATGGCGTGGTTGAGGTTGAATCTCAAGACAACTAATCATGGAGGGTTGGATAATGACCACAGGTGTTTGTCATGTTTGTTGATCCGTAACTTTTTCGCCTCGGATACATGATCGATGAGCGTCAGTCTGTTCCTACTTCGTCAATGAATCATGTGATCTGTTTAATATCTCACGAATTACCGTTTGGAAGCCAGACTGTCCTATCCTTTCAATCTGTTCGAGCTGATTAGTCAGAGAATCACAAATCTACACTTCTTTCCGAGATCTCATCATAGTTGTGCAGTAGAGTGGTTGTAAGTTGATCTGCCGCTAGATTACTGCTGACGTCTCGTCATCAGTTGTCGTTCAGCATAGTAGGGACAACGTGATGTCCACGCTTACAACAGTCCGAGTCTTATTGAGCTAAACAGCTGCTTATCTACGCAGCAAGGGACATGCACTAATACAGATAAACAGCTATACCGTCCGATGTGAACTTCCCTAGATCGGTCAAGTCGCCCGCTTTGGTTTTCTCATCTCTATTCCTTAAACTGACCTGCGACTCTTAGGCCAGAGATTGGCTAATGTTCACTTCTTTGGACCAATTCTGGAGCGACGATATACTGCTTCTATCAGGAGCCGCTTGTGTAGGTGGTTCGACCGCGAGGGGTATCTTGGCCGTTGCTGCACAGATAAACAGCAATCTGAGCAACGATCTACTAGAGGTGTGACTCGAGTGATATAAACTTCCGGTGTGACATCGCAAAAGCCGCAGAAAGCATCGATGACATGGAGTTTCCTACAAATCCAATTGTTGTACTCTCAATCGCGTTCACACGAGGGATCCTGCAAACTGATTAGGGACATGCAGGCTCCTCTCCAGGAATTTGAACCTAATGAGCATTGGTAGTCATGTTCGTCTGCCAATTCAAGATGTAGATCAAACTCGAGCGTCACTTGCACGTATGCTGACAAGAGCCATATACTGCGGTGCCGTTGACGTCTCCATGCACCTTTATCTATGCTACTTCTTTCGGTATCCGCGGGCGACAGCAGACCATTCGAGACGGTTCTAGCAATGCTCAGCCAGCCACAATATTCAAGGGTTTCGTCAGTTTCGAGTTGGCGTGAACGCCAAGACTCTCGCATGCTTCACGTGCTAAAAGATCTCGAACCATGCCGGAATCTCTGGTAATCAGTTCAAAGCGGCACACAACGCATGATGCCATATCGCGAGGGTTGAATGATCGTAAGAGAAGCAGGAGAACGGCGGGATGTGTCCGATGCGGTGTGATTGATATCTCAACCATCCCCAGCGCTCATGACAACTCGTCTCGTCTTGGAACATCTTTGGTACACCTCCAGAACATTATTGGTTCCTCATTTCGAGAAATATCAGGAAGCATACGGTCGCCATGAAAGATTCTTCGCTAGAGACTAGAGTCCCAGATGCATATTCACGGCTATCTGCTACAGTGGGAGCCACCGTGCCAGCTCTGTCGTTCTTCCTTCTCGCAGCAATAATAATGCTGTAGGCAGCCTGTAGAGGTGGACCACTGTACCGTGAAGCTAATACGTATGAGCAGTGGTTTTTCAATTGCTAAATGCGTCCGACCTCCTCACTGGGCGGGTGTAGAAGACAGAGAGGCCGAATCCACTCTCATACTGCAGCCAGAAGAAACATTCGAAACATGGAGTCGACTGTTACATCCGCTTTTGCATGGCAGGATTCCTACCGACCCACTATGGTGCGTTGACACTAGGAAAAGACTTCATCGTCGCTAATGAGATCCGGACCAGTGCCATCTGCATCGAAACTGTTCACCAGCAAGATCAGATTGTTGGGTTAAGATGCTTGCATGTCTTTCACAGCGACTGCCTAAGAGATGCCATTTTGATGGGCTTTCGGAAGTGTCCAGTTTGCCAGCGGACCATTGTACCAATGAGTGGAAAAGCTGTGAGTGAGGTCCTCCAAGACGATGCGCCGGGTGTGCAATCGACACATCTGGCGACGCTTGAACGAGGTTCCAGCCAAAGTCAGAACTGAATAAGAACGGTATACATATGTCTCGATTGTTTTCCCTGATCGTTATCCCTGACTCCGCCTAACACGGAGCGAGGTTGTGATGATCTGCAGGTGAGCTCACTGGCTCATCCAGCATGTGGGGCGAGGTTGTAATAGTGACCCTGGCGAGACCTCTGCGGAAAGCTCACACGCCAAGGGCGTGAGCTACCCCGTAGCTTGCTTTTGCCAAGATGAGCATGGTGGCGTGTTTTCTACTGATTTCTCACGTGTTGCTGAGCACTGTAGAAGCAGTATCAGAAGGATGAGACATGAGACCCAGTAGGGCATGTCGTGATCGGATGTCCGACCGCTCTCTTGACGTCGCGAACGGACTGGGAATACTGGCCTGACTGGATGTCAGCAAGGTATCGATGGTGTCCGCTGTCCACGTTCTAAAGCTCATGACAGGGCTTCCCTAGGTCTGTCACGAATGCAGTGTGCCATCGTATGATATGAGTCCAGACTTAAATACCTTTGGCTGCTCGATCCAGTCGTAGTGATCAAGAAGATTTTCCCACCTTAGATACACAAGAATGGCTCAGCCCAACAGACTCAAACATCAAGATTTACAGAGCACTACAACAACGAGGTGAGTTGATCAAGTGCGCACTTGACTTTTCTGATCGCAGTCTAGAAAATATGACTCGACAATGCCTACACGTTTCGCTGAGCCCTCCCAGCAACCGTGTCCAAAACCTGGAACGACGCAGAGTACCTTGCGCGTGAAGCGGCTGCGGCATGCTTCAGCTCATGCTCTTCCACGAAAACCAATCAGTCCACCAATAAGACACCACGCGCAAACGTTCTATGGGCGTCCGAAGATCCACAAGACAACAACATGCAGAACATCAAGATCTATGTTCCACGCACAGACAGCGGTTTGGCCACCAAGGATCCAAATGAAGCTGGAAACTTGAATGGAAGTCACGAACCACATTCGTGGGAAGACTACAAACGCAAGTTATTCTTGGAGTGGTTGGATGGCCAGCCTGATGCCCACAATGACATATGGGGATTTTCCTCGACAAGTTGCACTCCTGTTGGTCTTTCAAGGTCATCCTCAGTCGTTCATATCGCGAACGAAGCCGACGAGATTAATCGTAAGCACATGAAATAGTATTGAGACATGCGTTTATGGCGTCTTCTATACAGGATCAATCTGGAATAGGGAGTACAGCTTATCCAGTCAAGCGTCCACTTTGTCTTCACCATTACGGGTACTGATTCGCGTTTGAGTTACTCGCAAAAGCTGCCGATGATATAGAAGGAGAGCTCCAAATGTCACCTATGCCCTCTAAATCTGTCTCGACTAGGGGACCAATCACACTAAGACCTTGCATACCCCGCCGAAGCGCGGGTGCCCTACACAACCACCAAGACTAGGCAAGTCATCACGTTACCGGAGTAGTAGCTCTTGGCGGTTAATATATATAACCGTGCTATGCGCTAGTAATAAAATTCACGTTCTTTTGGCAATTCCAGGCAGCGCAAGTTCCATGTCTGCCCCGCCGAGATCATGCTGCACAACCATAAATCACTAGCCACTAAGCCTGCAACAGATGCATCGAGCGATGGCGCGATGCGAGCAGCGAGGGCCACCGTGAATTCATGTCAAACAACTGTCCCACGCACAGTTGTGGAACGACAGCGTCCAGTAAGGTCCAATACACTGCCTACGTACACGAAAGACTTTCACCGTCATGAACTGTCGGCTCTCGATGTTGCAAACGTGTGGTGTTCTGTAAACAAGGAACTAGGAAGGCAAAACTCTGGTAGCTGCAATCAAGCATCTCCAGGGGTCCTGGTCTTGGCTCCGCAATCTTTAGGGGGTCCCGTCTGCAGGGCCGAGCAAGACTTGTCACTTAGTGGCGATAAGCTTACGCAGCCACTTATGACCAACCCGCGTTGATACACGCCTTCTCTCCGGTATTGATAGCATGATTGAGCCTTATGGCATGACCACCAGCATTGACATCCTGACCCTGGTTCATGCTTTGACAAAGGCCAACGATCGGATCCTCGAAGGTTCTAGAAATACCTCCCTTACCCGATGCGGCTTATGCTATAGCCAGTCGATGTGTAAGACGCGTAGCACCCCATCACAGGTGATTCAGACTGAATTCAGGGTATCTAACCGATGGCAATAAAGCGCCTTTGCACGTCAAAAACGTGCGGAAAAAGCACTAACTATATCAAGAACTCGATTCCACGATTCTGTCTTCGTGACTGGACGTGTCGTAACTCTTGTCCACATATCAGAGCTTGAGCATGTTCGAGTACATACGTGCGAAATAAATGACAGGCCAGTCTCTGCATCCAGCAAGCTTCTGCAGCTCACGAACTCAATACACGATAATCACACCATGTCGACAGCCATCAAGACAGCCACCTGAGAGCAGTACGTCCAAGATGTGTTTGATGAGAGTTTAACGTTGCTCAAAGAGTCGTGTGATAAATCAGCCACAGCATTCATCCTCTGACTCTGTTCGGAGTATGGTATGCGCAAGGTGGCTTGAGACAAAGAACATGGCCGCAGCTATGCCTTTCGGCCTGAGTCGGCTGATCTCCTGATTCTCACGTAAACATCGAATCAGTTGATAAGATAGACATTGCCCAGAGTTGATATAAGTGCTTTGTGCTCTTTCATTTCCCATCCAAAACTTGCAAACAAACATCTTCGACTCCAGATACAGTACATTGTTCAACACACCTTGAACTATGATGTCAGCTGGCTACGCCCCTAGGCCAGTTCGTTTGTCGCGATTTATCGAGAACTGCTCGTTGTATGGACCCAGACATCATCGACGCTCAAGATCGATCTGCAGACCTTTGGTCCCTATTGTAAAGACAACAGATCCTATCCCATCCCCATCTATAGCCATACTTGGTAAGTGATGCAGGTACAACCTTCTTCGCAACCACATAGACCAACACTAAAGCGCTATAGAAGAGGAAGCAGATTGGACGGACGAAACAGGATCTTGCAAATCCAATGTTCAGTCTTGCCAGCAAGAAACCACAGAATCTGACCCCTGTCTGAGTGATCTCGACGTTTCGGTTCTGTCCCTGTCGGACGAATTGTCCGATCATTGTTTTGTGTCTTGTGGTCAATGCCATACCGTTGTTCGAGTCTCCCACATCGATAGATGCGGCTGGTTCAGCTCTGTGGCTGCTTGCGAAGCATGTGGCACCCCAGGGAAGGCGCAGGCTTAGGGTCAACAAATTGATTCGGCTTTTGTTCTAGACTTAGTAAACAATGCCACGTTCTTGGAAATAAGCTAGCCTGCGCTCTTAAATTCAAGTACGATCATGCTCAGGTTGTCTTTCGCCTAATTCTCTTCACAACCGGTCACTCATAGATGTGCGGCGATGTCCGATCTGCATATCCTAGCTATATACCGTATGGCCGTACTACTTGTGATGAGGTTATACCTCTCCAACCTTGGATCTTGCGGAGAACGGAGGAGGTCCTAGATGTAGAACTGTGGGTTTCGGAAGCCAAGGCGAACAAAAACCTGAGCCTGATTGTATCCAAATGAAATAGCAAAGATAAGTAAGATACTGTTACTACCTGATCGCAAAGGATAATCGAAGAACGTGGGAATCGTCAGCCAGAAGAGTTCCTCATCGCACTGTGTATAAATGCTCTCGCCCCAACTTTCCAACTATTATTAGATTGTTCCATTCATATAACCCTCTCTCCTTGAAATCATGCAACGCAGATTCGCGCCTCTACAAGTGATGTGCTTGTGCAGGAAGTAGATCCTAGGTGCTGATGTGGCGTCTTGCAGGAGTACCTATAGTATTAGGCTGATCGGTGGCATCGCCCACTGGTAACGATTACTGGACAAGGCAGAGATCTCTCGGTCTGGATCATCAGGCGGCTGGTGGTCATGAGCTACATGCTTTGAATGCAATGTTCCTCGCACGCTTGACCACCGACGGCGTGCTTTGGCCATGAGATCGTTGTAGCCAATAAGGTTGAACCAATCGTATATCTCGCTCTCGAGGCTCGACATTCTGTGCATGCTTTGGAGGATAAAGTCATCGTACATTGGTCGATATTTAAGGTTTTCACCGGCGGTATCGTCGCCTGAGACCCAGATAAGGATATTTCTTCGGATTAAGCATTCATGCGCTCTGTGTCCCGTAGACAAAGAGCCACTCCTTTCGAAACGCGGGTAAGGGAGGTGTAAGCTACCGAAAGTTACATTCCATGGCCGGTAATAGTGTTGCTGACCCGCTTGAAGTTGGTTCGGAGTTTTGTTGGTAGTGCCCGGCAACGATACTGCAACAGGCCGCACACGTCCAGGTTCGTGAACCACAGTTTGTGCATCAACGCCTTTGGCCCAGTCCGGAATATTGTCTTTGTCGTTCATGTGATATGATGACCTGTCACCTTGTCCAGTGATGTGCGGAGCCCCAACCTCCGTCCCTCTCAAGTGGTTGCCGTTCTCTGCTATAGATCTCGAGCTGGTCGAGTCCACATAGGATTGCTTCGCTGGCAGGTGTTTTGTAGGTGGCATATAATGCTCTGCCGGCTGCATCTCTAGAACAGCACAGGACCGAGCAGGGCTGATGTCATCCTCGTAGACGTCGGGAGCTATCATTTGCTGCCAAAGACTTTGATCCGATAATGTTCGATATATGTGTGGAGAGAAGAAAAGTACTTGAGTGGATGAGTACACAATGAAAAGAATATGAGCCCCTATAAATCATAATTATGATGACTTTTTGTGTATCACATGTTCTGATACGCGATGAGAGCGTCATCTTACATGCCCACAAATCTCGTTCCTGTTGCATAAGCTAGTGATGATGGTACAGGCTAGAATCAAGATCTTATTAGAGTCGGGACCAGGTGAACGTCTAGGGAAACCCACGACGAGACAATATAGGGCTATCCACATGAGTCGAGAGCAAGTATGCATCAGCTTGACGTGTCTGATCTACGAGCTTGAAAAGACACAAAAACAACTAGTGGAGTGATATTTAGCAAGGAGCGATCGGTGGCGTGACGTCTCGAGAGAGCACGCGGTGGCCTTTCTAAGTACATTATGTTTCGCATGTCTAGAGTTTAGTCAAGGAATATAGAACCGGTCGTAGGTAGTATATTCCAATCGCTGTGTAGCATAGTACCTAAGCCAGGAGTCATCTCCCGACCACACCATAGATATCACGTCATCAGTGGGATTTTGCCCGACAGGAGATCGAGGCATGCGGATCATCAGCTGACACCACCATATCCTACCACGTCTGACCTTTACTTTCAAGTCGCAGATACCTCCTTGGTGAGGAACATCTACCATTGATATTACATCTATATCCTCACCCCCTTCTTAATACACACCGCAGCCCGACGAAGCGCTATCACTCAGACGTCTATCTGCGAACATGTCGTGCGATATCTGCTCAATGAAAAATATCCACCGCCGAAGCCAGGACCTATATCATGTCAAACAAACGGTCAAACATCTCTCCCACGATCCCAACGCTCAGATCTACAAGACAGACATTCTTGGTACCTTCACAGACCTTCATGCTGCTAAGAAGGCTGCGTACTCTGCACTGGAGCCCCAAGAGGCTTTGTTCAAGAGATTCGAATCTAAACAGCAGTTTGAGCCAACGACATGGCCGTACGACGACAGCATCTTTGTACGCGCGGTTGCAGAAAGCGGGGATATTCTCAAAATCTCCGTCGAGACCAATCCCAACAATGCTGGGCTAACAGGAGACCCCTATGGGAAAGTTTGTGGCCCACTCTATTGCGTCCTCCAGGAAGTCATACATTACGCAGAGGATTGCGATGGCTGTAAAAGAGAGTATTTCATCGAGGGGACTTTCAGAGCCAGAGCAGACGCCCGGGAGTGCGCCAAGAATGTCTTGACCTCCGAAAGCAGCAGCGAACAAGACTTCGAAGTATTCGAGGTCTATAACGAAGAAGATGACTGTCCATATGGCAAGGACGCTGTGGTTCACGCAATCGCTGCGAACGGCGAGAATTTTCTCGTTTCTGTCGTTGGGGTTGGCAAGAGTCAGGAGAATTAGAGGTCGAAGATGGATTGAGATAGGAGTTTTTTCATTATAATGTAGTGGCGTTACAGATTACTGATTTCT